TCACTTTCAACATATATGTGTCTTTGGGTATAAAGTGAGTTTCCTGTAGATAGCATAAAGGTTTTCTTTTAAATCCATTCTTTCAATATCTGTATTTCCAATGGCAAGTTCATTTTATTTACAGTTAAAATGATTAGCCATATTCAAAAATTACTTCTGCCATACTACTATCTTTCTATACGCCTAACATCTTTTTTGTTCTATTCCTCCAGTATTGCCTTATTCTTTGCTTAATCATTTTGTTTTCTAATGAAATGTTTTGATTCACTTTTGATTTCTATCTCTGTATACCTTTAAGTTTTTTTTCTTTATAGTTACCATGTGGATTACTGCTAACATCTTATATGCTTAATCATTTTGTTTTCTAATGAAATGTTTTGATTCACTTTTGATTTCTATCTCTGTATACTTTTAAGTTTTTTTTCTTTATAGTTACCATGTGGATTACTGCTAACATCTTATATATCTCATTACATACTGATTTGATGGAAATCATCATGTTGAAGGGATACCTGCAGTCCTATGTTTATTGCAACTCTAATTACAATAGCTAAGAATTGGAACCAACCTAAATGTCCATTTATTGATGACCGAGTAAGGAAAAGTTGGCACACATATGCAATGGAATACTACTCTGCTATAAAAAGAATGAAATTCTGTCATTTGTACCAACAGAGATGAACTTAGAGATAATTATGTTAAATGAAATAATTCAGGCTCAGAAAGAGAAATACCACATGTCCTCACTCACAAGTAGGAGTTAAAAAATAAACAAATCAATAAAAAAGAAAGATACAACCATCACAATAATTCATTGAACTTTCAAAATGAGAGGACTGAACCAAGGCCACCAGATGTGGGAAATGGGAAGGGAGAGGGAGATTAGTGAGAAATTGGGAAAGGTCACAAAAAATGACTACATTGTATAATGTTGAATGTACTAATTATCCTGACTATATATAATTATTACACATTGCACATTGGTACTGCTTGATATTCAATGCTCTACCCCAGAGATATATACAATCAATTCCATTTCAATAATAATAGAGAATAACTTACTGGTTTGAATTTATGTAAACTTAATACCAAATTAGTTTCAAATTGTATACGTTAGCTCTGATCTCATCCAACTCCATTCCTCCTGTGTGTTGTTGTTTCAAATTACATACTTATACATTGTGTGTCATGCATTTTTATCTTAAATTTATAACTATTATTGTAAATCATATAGAAACAAAAAAGAGGGTTACATACAAATATATAGGAATATTATCTTTTACATATACTTATATAATTACTCAACAGAAATATTTATATATTACTATTGCTTTGATTTATTGTTTACTGGCTTTTAAAAATCAACCTGAAAGCTAAGTCCCTTTAGCATTTTTGTAGGTGAGCTCTACTAGGGAAGAACTGTGTTAGCTTTTTGAAAAATCCTGAAATGTCTTAATTTTTCCTTTATTGTGTAACAATAGTTTTGAAAGAAATACAATTTTTACTTTTCTGTTTTTTTCTGTCAGCGTTTTATATATATTCTTCCACTGATTTCTGGCCTTCATAGTTTCTGAGGAAAACTCAGCTATTACTTTTATTGAGGATCCTTTGTACATGTTGAGTAACTTCTCTCTTGCTGCATTCCACATTCTCCCTTTATCTCTTTAACTTTAGTTAAAATATGCCTTTGTAGGAGTCTCTTTGGTTTTATCCTCCTTGGAGTGTATTGAGCTTAAAGATATATACATTCACATCTTTTATCAAATTTAGAAAGTTTTTAGCCATTATTTCTTCTAATATTTTTCTGCTCTTTTTCTGACTCCCCTCTCTAGTGCTTCTGCAATGTGTATGTTAATACACATGATGGACTTCCATTGGTCCTTTAGGTTTTGTTCATTTTTTTGTTTCTTTTTCTTTCTGCTACTGAAACTGCATAATTTATGCTGTCCTATTCTCATCTTTCCTATTTGTTATTTCTGTTTGCTCCAGTCTGCTGTTTTTTTTTGTTTGTTTGTTTGTTTGTTTTTTGTCTTTTTGTCTTTTTTTACTGACTGGTAACGGGATCACAACCCTTGGTGTCACGCCCGTACGGGGGACCGGCAACGGGATCGCAACCCTCAGTGTTGTGCCCACACCGCGCTCAGCCAGTGAGCGGGAACCGGTCTCCACATGGGATCCAAACCCTCGTCGGGAGCGCCGCCGCGCTCCCAAGTGGCGCACTCTCCATTCTGGGCCGGCCCTCTAGTCTGCTGTTGAACCCCTTTAGTAATTTTTTTTCTTTCAGCTATTGTATTTTGCTCCAGAATTTGCATTTGGTTTTGTTTCATAATTTCTTTCCCATTGTTGATTTTCCTGGCTTTTTAATTCAGTATTCTCCCAATAACTTTAGTTCCTTATACATGGTTTCTTCCAATTTTCTGAGGATATTTAAGACATTTACTAAAGGTTTTATCTTGTAAGTCAAATTTCTGGGCATTCTTAGAGATGATTTCTGCCAAATTCTTCTTTTTAAACTGTTAATAGGCCATAGTACTTGTTTGTTTAGTTTTGTTTTGTTTCTTTGTTTGCTTCTTGGAAGCTCTGTACTTTTTAAGGAACTCAAAATTTAGTATATTGCAATATGACAACTCTGAATTTAAGGTGTTTTTTTTTTTTTTTTTTTTTTTTACTTCCAGCAATTACTGGTGTTCCTTCATGAGGGCTCCAGTCATCAATTTATTTAGTGACTTTTTCAAACTGTTTTTGTATCTTTTGTCATGTTTAATCACTTGAATCTCTTTTCTGCTACCTCTGCAGTCAATCAGTGACTTGACTCAAATTTCCTTAAGTTCCTGGATACAATAACAAAATAACAGAAAAGAAGTCATTTTGTTTCTTTAAATTCCCAAATCCAATGACACTGGGGAAATTGCTTTAGGCCATGTGGATTGTGTCAACCCATCAGCAATCGAAAGACACAACATAGTACACTATCCCCCCAAACTTCCCACCACAGAGGTGGGTTATGAGGAATGTTAGCCTCTATACAAGATGTCTAATTTACTGAAATTTACCTCTTTCTTCATCAAACATTCCTTAGATGGTGCAACTGCTTGACTAGACTCCAGAGTCCCCACATAATTTCTTCATACAGATTGTGCAAGGTCACTGGTTGTTTTTGTGGAGGAACGCATTGCTGAACTTCCTGATTTACCATTTTTGTGACATTACTCTCATAATGCGATCATAACAACATTTCAATCTGTGACATCAAATGTATTTCCATTTATTTAGGTTTTATTTTATTTCTTTCAACATTATTGTATATAGTCTTGTTTAATTATGATAGGTTATGTCCAAATTCCCTTCAGCATTTGGAAATATTATTATTGGTTTGTGAGTGCACTACTTCTCTCCTGACTTAAGAGTAATTTGAAGTTGATGAGCTTAGAATACTGTGTGAAGCCGACATTACTATGGAAAATGACCGTCTTTGTCTTGCAAGGGAATGTGTTGAGAGGGGTTAGTTAATCTTCATGGTGCTGATTAAATAATATTAGACGTGTCATAGTCACCTGTAGATTATAAAAGCATTATTAATTTAATGCTGGCCTAGGGACTGGTTAGAAAATAATATTTTTTAGGGCCGGCCCGGTGGCGCACTGCTACAGTGCGCCGCTTGGGAAGTGCGGCAGCGCTCCCGCCGAGGGTTCGGATCCCACATACAGACCGGTTCCCGCTCACTGGCTGAGCGAGGTGCGGGTGCAGCACCGAGGTTTGCGATCCCGTTGCCGGTCCCGGTCCGGTACGGGCACGACACTGAGGGTTGCGATCTGTTGCTGGACACGAAAAAAGACAAAAAAAAAGGGAAAAAAAAAGAAAATAATATTTTTTGAATATAAATGATCTTCTGTAGTTTATATTTAAAATTGCCCCCTTGTCACTTCTGTGTCATATCATCTTTTCAGTTCTAAACCAAACTTACTTATCCTTGTCAATTGCTTTCTCTCACCCAAATTTCAATTCATGGGAACTCCATTCATTAGTCACTCAGCCTAAATATCTGCATTACTCCTGCAATTTCCTTTATCCCTAATGGGCAGTTAGCACCTCAAATTCTCTGTCTTCGTGGCTGTAATGACTCTTTAATTTGTATTTCCTATTCATTCCTGCATTTGTTCCCTGTACCAAGTTGCCCACTTTCTCCCATCTGGACTACAATAATGCTGGCTTCATCTTGTCTTTGTGACCCCAATCTCTTTTCCTATAATTCATTCTAGATTTTGCTTCCAGTTTAGCTTTTGCACAATTTCAATTTCATGATGAGTCTGCAGGCAACGTTGAATTTATATAAATTTTTGACAGTAGAAGAGAATTCACACTCTTATTTCAGGTTTATAACATCTTTATGCTGTGCCCTTAATTTACCTATTTTGATTAATTAAGATTGTGTTTGCTTCCAAATAAGAGAAAATCTGGTTAATAATGGTTTAAACAAATGGTGGCTTTATTTATTTCAAATAGAAGGTTTTTCATGGTGGACCAATGTGCGGATAATATGTTAGCCCTGAAGCATCAGAGAGTCAAGTGCCTTCAATTTTTATTCACCACATTTGGTATGTAGGCTTCGTTTCTTTGGTTAAATCCTCACATCCGAAGATGATGTGCACTTTACCTCCTCCTTCGCATCTGTGTTTTACGTGAGAGGGGGAAAATAGAGAAGGAGCGCCAATAGGATTCCACTTATAGCTTTGTGGGAAAGTACTATGTTCCCTGGCTCACCTAGCTGCAAAGAGTCTCATGAATGGAATTTTTGGGCAAGCAAAGAAAAGTGGAGTAAGAAATGAAGTTCAGGCCAATTGATTCATAGTCTGTGCTATACCGTGCAGTAGTTTTTCTAACAATAGACTTTCCAGTTTCTGTGTTGGCTAACTTTACAGCAATGTGAGCTATTTGGGATTCTGTGTAGCTAAATGTGCTTGTAAATAATTAGTCAGGTAATTGTATCAAATCATTCCTAGGAAAAACACAATCAGCAATCTGGATTTACTATTCAAAATTTGGTATATTTGACAATTTAGTATGCAGTGTATCTGATTTGTTTGGAGCTGGGACAGAGACAACAAGCACCACCATGAGATATGGACTCCTGCTCCTACTGAAGTACCCGGAGGTCACAGGTAAGACCATAGCTGATGAGCACAGTGAATTTCAGCAAAGATGTTGTGAAGACCCTGCTAGTGTCCTCCACATTGTTTCTCTTAGAGAGGCTTTATTGTTAAACTTCTGTGCTACCAGCTGTACTCTGTCCTATTTAAGGATGTGCTAAAATGGGGCATCTTTGCAGAATACAGGAGGTTGACTGAGAGGAGTGAAGGCAGCATGGCAGGAGGAAAAGCAATAAAGCTCTGGTGCCATGTCTGGATGTCATGGGAGGTGATTCATGGCAGGCAGAGCCAGCATCAATTTGCCTGGATTGTGTATTGGTTTTATTACAAAAAGGCCACCTTTAACATAGCTACCTTCTTGCAAATACCTTTCCTCATTCTACAAATTCAGTGTTCTAGTAACGGGGTAGGAAAAAGAGAAACTCTGCTTATTGAAACATAAGTGGAAACTCTAGAAATTTAGTGATGCTGCCTGAGATCATTTCCAGCCTGTGAAGAAATCTAAAATTTAGATTCATAAGAAAGGTGTTTCTGCTTAGGCAGAAGATATACCGAAAGGAATTTTAATATTTCAGAAGTCTGTTGTGATAAAACTAGTGTACTCACGATTAGAATTTGGGGTGGGGGGGGCTGGGAGCTGTCGATAATTCTATCTTTCACAAATAATTTTACTTTAGAAATTTATTTTTAAATAGTTCCCATTATCCGGCAGATAAAAAACATGCTCTTTGCTCCTGCCCGTGTCAGGATCCCACTGAAATGTCAATAACTGAATTACAAATGAGGATTAGTCCTTTCAAAGTCGGGTGGAGAGAAGTGCAGGGAACAGCCAAGGAGTCTTCGGCATTTTTTTGAAGCACAGAGAGCAGATTGAAGGGTGACCACTAACTCAGCAAACTGGATGAAG